TGGCAACAGCTGCAAGCAGTGCAAAAATTTTAACAACAAATGCACTCAATTATGTGTAAATTGGGTTGTCAATAGCTTGTAAATGCTGCAAATAGCTCACTATATGTGCAAAATGCAAAAAATGTGTATTACAGACTATCCCCTTTCACATATTCCCTGTAACTCTGCGCTTATCTAGATATTGCCTACAGGCACTGTATCTGTAAACATGATATAAACGTTAAAACGGACATCTAAGGCATGACTCTCAATACTAACTTTCACAGCACTAACAAACAAGCCCAGACACCTATGCCAATCGCTGCAAAGCCTATGTTTAGTCTGAATTTTACCGGCTTGACTTTACAGACAGTTAAAACGCTGTGTGGATGAGGCAAAACGTTAGCCTCATTAGCTGCCATGCTAACAACACATGCAACAGGTACATACAGTAAAGCAACATAAAATGGTGAAACTTACAGCTCCCAAGTTTGAAGTTGGATTCTCGGACAGTTGGTACTGATCCATGCTTTATCTTCAGAATGTAGCGAATCCCGCATTGTACTGGCCCTTGTTGAGAAAGCAGTCCGACGTGAAATGGTTAACCCGCTACAGCTCCTAAAGTGTCCATCAAAAATAAAATAAAACAAATCCACCGGGTCTTCAGATCCTCCGACGTAGGGGGTAAAAAGACTTCTGTGTTGGTTTGTACAGCCAACAACCGAGCAACTAGCGTGCTTCGCTCGTACCTTCGACATAGTTTTACCGGAGCCGGTGATGCGAGGGAGTAAACGATAGCTGCTGCAAGGCGGACTCAGAGGGCGGAACACACACCTGGCTCGGGGAGTGTCACCCACCTGGGGGGAGGTGTTATTTCCCTTCATGACGACATCAAGGGAAAATCTCCAATTGGCCTGTGTGAGTACACATTTTCTGAAAGGTGGAGCAAGCAAAAGACAGAAAGGATGGACTTTTCTCATGTTTGGGGGGTTTGTAGACAGGCCGGTGACACATATTACTGATAGAAAACCATGGAAAAGTGCATTTTGCATAATATGTCCCCTTTAAACATCCAGTTTACAAGTTCTACTTTTCATTGTCAGCTATATCATTAGCTACTTCAGCAGTGCTTCAGCAGTTGCTTCAGCTAATTCAGCATTGCTTCAGTTTTTGCTTCAGCTTTTCCTTCATCTTTTTCAGCATTGCTTCAGCAATCTCATTCAGCTCTCAGCATTCGCACGCAGAAAATGCATTTTCTAGTTATTATTATTCTTAAGCCTTCCGTACGCTTTTTGGATTCTAACCACTCCTACAGTTTTTGTGCTACAAAGACCGTTCAGCTATGAAAACATTCGGCTTTTCTGTATATTATCGGATGTATTCACCTTTTTTGATATTATTCATAATTTTTGAAATATTAATCTTTTTATGAATTTTTTTGCCATTCAAATGACTGGAGACCATGTTCAAATACTTGAAATCTTCAGCCTCTTTAAACTTTAACTACTTCAGCATACTTTCAGCTACAGACTTTATTCAACGTTTAAACCGTAAACAAGCCTTTCAGCTATTAAGTTTGTGTTAAAATGTTTGATATGTTCGACAGTTTTTGAATTATAGCAGTTTTAGTTTTAAGGTTTTTTCTGATCATTTTTGAGTTTATAATGGGTGTGTATTGCATCATCATGACATCATTGCTCAAGTGGGAAAGGCTCTAGAACTCCTCTGAAAAAATTCTGTTTAACTCTAAGATTTTTTTGTCCTGTATCACCCAGTTTTGGTCTCATTCTGATATCTTTTTCAGTTTTTGAGGAGGTGATTGGAGTACCCTCCACCTCTCCCATTGACTGCAATACAAATTCAGGAGCAGGTGTTATTGGACAGAAATGGGCGAAGCTGATTAGCGTCACTCATTTCTAAAATCTGATTGGCTAATTGAACTCATTAATCCTTAGCCTTTTGACCCAAGTATAACAACTCAAAGATAAATCAATATGGTGTATTTGTGTGTGAAAGTGTGTGTTGATGTGTGGTTCTTTGTGTGTATGTATATGTCTTTTTAATAATTGTGAAGACAATTTTGGTTAAAAACCATTATTGTGAGATCGTTTTGGCCAGGTCAGTGTCTGGATAAGTCTATACAACATGAATGAGACTGAAAGTAATGTCCTTTGTACAGATTCAAGCGTGAGGAGTGAAGTACACACACGTTCAAAATTTCTTTCATAACTTTCTGTGAGGTAAAGTGAATCAACATATTTTTCATCTCTAATTATCAACACAGTCATCTCAGCATGGTTTCACTTGGTCTTTCAGTGAATTTCTTTGTTGGATTCTTCATGGGAGCTCTGCTCTCCTTTGTTTTTCACATCCTGCCACTGCCTTTCTCAAGTGCAAGCCACAGAGGAAACTGAAAGCTTTAATAGAAACATTTCACATGACATCTGAGGCAGAGATCCACACACGCACGCACACACACACACACACACACACACACACACACACACACACACACACACACACACACACACACACACAC